AAAAGGTAGGACCCAATTAGGTCGAAAATCTCTTTTGTAAATCTCTAAATGACGGGCATGCCGATTTTTTCACAACTTTAAGGAATCGAAGGAACCGATCATACCCAAACCAGCTTCGGTCGATTAAGAAATGTCCGGCCATCCTCCAGAGTTTTACAGATCTCAAGTCCAACTCTTGGTTTACGCTAGGCTCAGAGACCGAGAGACCATGGCTTGTGACACGTTCTTGGATCGTTTTTAGACCATTTCAGGTCAACTGCCGATCAAGGTTTTGTAAACACGACAGCCAGCCCGATGTTTTTGACAAATTTTAAGAAATCGATGGAACCCATCCAGTCCAAATTATCTATGTCGATCACTCTGATTCAGCGGTGCCAAGCGATCCTGAGAGTGCCAAAAGCTTTACAGATCTCAAGTCTAACGCTTATATGGTTTACGCTGGGAATCGGGCTGAGTATACTGACGATAGTGTAGTATACGTGTTGAGTATACGATACCACTCGATAGTAGTAGACTGTGTGCAGGAGTGCAAAGCTATATGAGGTCGTGATCAAGCGTGAAATGTGCAGCACGCTTGTGGTCCCTTGTTGGTCCTTGTTCGTGCTTGAATCTCGCTAAATACCTTCGCTGTTGCTTCTTCTGCTGCTTCCTTCCTTGTTTACTGTTGTTAATTGGATATCTATTTGTTACGTGAAATGAAGCTTTAGAAGTTAGTTACTCTAATTTTGAAAAATCCAGTCCTTCAAGGTTATCAAGGACCCCGGGTCAAGGACATCAAGGGAATGGTGACCTGACTGCTCAAGCCGGAGAACTATGACATTTTTGAGGTCTCAGAAAGCTCACTGATATCGAGCATTTAAAATTACTAAGGAACTGGTCAAAAAGTGTTGGGGGTGGTGGGCGGGAGCAGAGAGGAGATGCGTCGAGGGGTGGGTCGTTCAATTTTCAGCTACAGTGGAACCCCACTTTACGACCACCCCGTTAATACGGTCATCTTGTTATTACGGCCACTTTATTCTGGCCCGAAATAAAGCTCAGTCAGTCATTTTAGTATTTAAAGAACCCTTTAATACGGCCACCCCGTTAATACGGCCAGATTTTTGTGGCCCGTTGGTGACCGGATTAAGGTTCCACTGTACCCATGGGGGGAAGGCCATCTTATTTTATGAGAGGAATTACATTGGCACACACTTCTGCAAAAGCGAATTATTGACAATCGACATCAAAATTTTTCGTGCCGTGGCTGAAATATTACTCGTGGCTGGTGTACAATAAAGACGGCAATTTCACGTAGGAAAGCTAAGAAGTCTAACGGAATGAGCAAGGAGTTCCAGTGCAGAAGTTTTCAAAATACTACGTTTTTTTGACATGCTGGTCTCCAAATACACCAGATGCCGCGCCAACTTGTGTCTACATGCTACTTATCCTCAGGGGCCTGGCCTCACATGCACTCTCGAGCCTGGGACCATAGTTTGATGGCTGTATGAGTCCCAGGTCTTTTCGAGATGGATCACTGTTCCAGGTGAGCGAGGCCGGAGGTTGAGCTTGCAAGGTTTCAGGACGGTCACGTTTTTTGTAGAGTTTACGGACATGACTTTAAGTTGCAAGAGTAAAAGAAACCAATATTATTTTTAGATGCCTTTGCATTATTGTTAAGAAATAAATCTAAAACGTAAATAACACCTGAAATAACACCAGGAGTTCATTTATAAAGTCTGAGTTTTTATTACTAAACTACAAAATGGCACTAACCCAAATGTTTCCATTTAATCATATATGGCAGTCAGAAAAGGAACATATGGTCATTTATAGAGTAATTACAGAAACAATAGAATAAAATGACAAATATTTCTTTTATCTCGATAGGAGTTATGAGAACCGCCATGATAAGGCTTGTGTTCAGTGCATTGTGTTGGCTTGCAGTCCTGGCAGGACCACTGAAACAAGAATGGATAGAACTATCTCATCCATTTAACAATGACACCATTTACTGGCCCACGTCACTGAAGTTCAAGCATACTGAAGTGTTTAAAGGTTTTACTGACGATGGTTATTATTACTCAGCATATGACATCAGCGGCGGTGAACACGGGGGCACTCACTTGGACGCGCCCAATCATTTTGCTGAGGGCAAGTGGACAACAGATGAAATACCTATAGATCGTCTCACTGGACGAGCAATAAAGATAGATATATCCTCTAAAGCTGCCCAGGTAAATGAAAAGACCTGTAAGGCTGTTGAAATTATTTACAGTAACATAAATTTCCGGAAGGACGAGGTGTTCTGGGACATTCATAAAGACCGCACAGGTTTCAAGATGAAATATTTTAACTATTCTAATTTCGCGGGTGGATAAACGTTTAAATTGCAGTAAACTTAATCATAATTATTGCGCTTCAAGGGCAGAGTTATTTTAACTTTTTTCTGAACCCCGTTAATACGATCATTAAAGGGTCATTAAAATTTGGTTCTATTAAAGGGGTGGCCGCATTACTGGGGTAGGGTAAATTTCATGGCTGGTCTATTATTTTTAAGTGACGTCTTGACAGACATCACAATTGTACTTCCAAAAAACTGTTCTTTAATAAGAATTCGAAATGCTGTTATGATTTTCAAAAAGTTGAAACACAATACAATATGACGAGGTAAAATTATAGAGGATTATACAGTTTGGTTTTTCAAATCTTAGCAAGGGCCATTGGAATCCACAACGAAGACTGGGGGTAGCCACGCATTTTCCCGAGATAATCAGCTTTGAATCTCGAACAGAAATGCTGATGTCAGCATTTTTCTGAAAAAGAAGGAGAATCTTTTTCTTCACAGATTTCCTTTGAATTCGCCTTGACATACAGAAATGCAAACACATTTATAAAGATCTTTAAACTACGTGGCAAATGGTAACAATAAAAACAGCGCTTTTAGCGTCCCTGGCAGCTCTCCTTTGGTTTAGCCAAAATACAGGCTAAAAAACTTTCCTAACAACTGGAAATTAATCACGTGTTGAATAGGCTTGTCACTGCCATTTCATAACATAAAATGTAGGGGTAACCTCGCGTTTTTGAAAGTTAATATAAATGAGTGGTTTTCTACTTTTTAAAAATTCTTACGGTGCCCGTCACATTTTTTCTGTCAACTCCCCCGTAAGTCAAACATTTGCGTCTCTCGCACTCGTTTAGCACGCGCACTACGCCATCTGCAGGTACATGTTTACAGTTGGATTTCAGCGTAATTTTCTACGGACAACGGCTAGCTTTTGAGATGGAAGCCGTTAACAGATAGTGGTAAGCGATTTGCTGCTACTCTCGTGTTCCTGGTTTTAGTATAGTTTCATTCAACTTGATTTGGTCACAGTGGGAAAATTTTGCTCTCATTTTAGTAGCGTCATTGATCACGCCAATATCAATGTCAACGCGTGCGTGGCGTGTAAACCGTGCTTCGCGTGATGCACAGAACCTGTGCGAACTAACAAAAGTAGGTACCCTCCTTATCGGGGTTTTCTTTTAAGAACATGTTTGGGCGTTTTAACGGAGCAATAAAGATTGGCCGTAATAACGAGGTAACCGTAAGGCGGGGTTTTAAGTGTCTTCAAAACCCGTTCAAGCATATAGCAACTGATCATAGTTCTCCTTTGATTCTTTTATTACTACGTTTTTCAAGAGTCCTGATGCCCAGTTGATGCCGAGTGATTTAGAGGCCTGGGAGAAAAAACACGGAAAAATCCCGGATGATGTGATACTGCTGGTATTTACAAATTGGGGAAAATATTGGTCAGACAAGAAAAAGTATCTGGGAACTGATACAGATGACATAGGCGCGTTGCATTTTCCAGGTAAGGAGATGAGGACTGGAAAGACGCTCTTTTTTGCGAGGGGGGTGAGAGTGGGGTAGGGTGAGGGAGTGGTTGGTGGGGGCACTTTGTTGTCCGTTGCAGTTTCCCTTCTCCATGCTTTTTGTTATTTTCTTCTCATTTAACACAGGACGTGGTGCGCGGGATTGGAATGCTCCACCCATTTTGCCATGGCAAAAAACGAAAAGAATAATTGAGGATAATAATCCATGCCGTAAGAAAGTAGCTAAGTTCGCATTTGGTTTCAGAGGTTGCTCTACGAGACATCGACTCTTCTGTGTCATGGTATTTTGACCAGCGTACAGATTTTTTTTTTTCGTTCGCAGGTATACACGCTGACGCGTCACGCTGGCTGGTCAAAAATCGAAACATCAAGCTTGTGGGAATAGACACAGCTTCAATTGATTACGGGCAATCAAAGTTGTTTGAATCTCATCGAATTCTCTACAAAGAAAACATCCCTGGGCTGGAAAATATCGCCAACATGGATCAGCTGCCTGTTAAAGGTTTCACAGTGTATGCTGCACCAATGTTCATCAGTGGAGGGAGTGGTGGGCCGTGCAGAGTGTTTGCCCTTTTGGACTGTGCATGATGTTCATGTACTGATTTACATAATACTCCAATTTCTCATTAAGATAATTACAGACCATCTGACGTATTCAGAAAGAGTCAATTATTGAATGAAGTTTTTGGACGTGTATAAGATTCAGATCTTATTTTTCATCTCATAGGCAGGCGAAATATAGTCAAACTTAGGCAAACGGCTTGCTGTTAAGCGGCCATCGTCTCTTTAACCCGCTAATGTAGCAGCTCTCGTAAGCTTGTAATTCTATTTGTCGTCATTGCAGCAGCTGTTGTTTTGGGCGAGGGAATGGGGGCATTGTTTCTGTTGCGTGTTCTATTGTCTTCTCAAAGGGTTTTAAGCCATTCATGTGAGACCTTACGAGAGCTGCAACATGACCCCTTTAACCGCCGGCTATCAGAGTCTCGTAAACATCCAACGGATCTGTTCCTTTAAAAATCTGTTTGCCCAGATTAAAGTCCGTGTGGCTGGGTTTCCCAGCCACACCCACCCAATGAAACCAGTCCTGACAAGTAAAATGGGTTTTCTGCAGAGATAACTGCTGGGTGAAAAACGTTTGCTTGCTGTTTACGTGGTGGCTGTGATGGTCCCTGGTCGAGTTCTGGCAAATTGGCTCCTTGCGTGTCCCTGTAAGTTAGATGTAATCGCACCGTTTTGCTTCGCTTCCGCGGCATATCGGGCGAGTGCGTCTGGACGAGCTATATAGTTCATATTGCGGCGAGATGTAGTGGAGACAAACTACCCTCGAAGATATGCCCCCCGATATGCTCGATTAGATATTTAACGTACCCAACTTCGGCCAACTGACCACGATTTCTAGCCATATCAGTTCAGTGACCTGATATCGTAGGATATCAGGACAATTGACAAGTTTCCGATTGGCTAATTGCGAATTTGGGTACGGTAATCTATGAAAACATAGCCTTTATTACAAATATTAGTTATAAGTACATGTATGTCAATTAATAAATGGGTGTCCGCTAAGCGCGGCTCGACTCATCGAAGTGCTACTGGAGGCTGTTCTCTCTACCATCAAAGCCCGAAGAAACCTGAAAAATTGTTTCATTTTATTTACCAGTCAAGACTTTCACTCTAATAAGGGTATTAAAATTGATTTTAAATACATCGATTCTTCACTGATCGAGAGGTGGTCAGTAAAGACGTTATAACAATGTATATTTATTTTGTAATAGCTTGTCCAAAGTATTTTGAACCTTGTTCATTTCCTTTTTATCAGGCCTAATGTTCAAATTCTGTTGCCCTGGACTTCAAACAAAACGTTTCCTTTTGGAGAGCTAGTGAATTTCTTGCTACCAGCGACACGAATATCACGCTTTTGAGTTTGAATTTTTTAACCTAGTTCGGAGAATATTATTTGAAAACTCTAAGTAAGTTGTTCTTCGTCTCAGAGCAATTAAGGATTTTTGCAATTCCAACACGGCTTTCTTTTCTCTCTGTAAAGCTGTTTCTTTCTCCTCTAACATTTTAAATAACTCTTCGTTCTCTTCCAGTATGCGTCTGCCCTCAACTGAAAGCCGAGTAAGTTGTTTTTCTTTCTCTTTTAACTTGGCTTTAGTAGTTCCCAAGTCATTTAAAATGTTTTTGCTGCTAGCAACCAGTTTAAGAACTTTTTCTTCCACTTCCTGGCGCTGTCGTTCCAGGTTTTTATTTAAGTGTTCTGTGGCTATCCTTAGTTCCCGTTCTTTGGTCAAATCGTCCTCGGCCTGTTTCAAGCTTTTGAGAACGACAGATCGCCTGTGGGTCCACAGCTCTTTCGTTCTAACTGCTTCCCTCAGTTTAACCTCGATCAGTCTTTTTTCTTCCTCGACTTGGCGGAGAGAAATTCCGAGTTCAATGATTTGTTCTCTTACCGTTGCGGAAAGACAGAAATCTTCCACGGCTTTCCTTGTCTTGACTCCGTGCTCGAATAAAAAACGAATTAGATTAGCTGAAGTCCGTTCAATCGAGTCTGGGAAACGAACAGAGAAGTCCTTCCTGCAAAAAAAAAAAAAAAAAAAAAAGAAAAAAAAATCAATAGCAACGTATAGCTAGTTCAACGCCACGGTCATGTGTCATTATACGTCGTTCATGGCATTTTCATCTTTCGGAATATATTTCCTTCTTTAAAACTGTGACACCATCGGGGAGAAGGTTTAAAAATTGCGACGATGATGTAATAGAATAAGTTTTCGCTACAAGACAGTATACGCCTCTCCGCTCAGTGGTGTCATTTCAAGGCGGGTGAAATGAAGCATCTCCTAGGGATTATGACGCCACGAGTACCGCTAACACCCTTAGGGATAAACCCTGGGGGAAGGAGTCCCAACACCTACTACTTCCATTGGTGAGCATGAAACCGCACCTCCTTTAAAGCCAATCCATAGAGCTATTGCGGCTTATTACGGCGAAGCAAGACGAAAGGTTTTGTAATTGTTCGCCTTTTAGCTTTTTATTGAAGAGTTTAACGACAGAGACCACCACGCTATGGTTCTGAAATGCTTTTCATGCATCTAGAGAATTTCAGTATGTTTCAGTTGAATTCAGTACAAATAAAATTCAGAATACCTGTAAGCTGGGAAGAGAAGAAAAGAAGGATACTGAGATATGTAAAGCTCCCATGGAAGATCATTTTCATCTGCGTTAATCCTGGAAAACAAAACAGTAGAGCATTTGGAATCTAATGACAACTTACTGTCACAGTCCACTTACGTTTCTCTGGACGAAACCCTATTTTAAAAGTTTGTAAACATTTGACAAAACGATATTGAGAGGTAATTTCATGTGGAACTGTTTATAACTCAAAGCAGTACTTTAATTTAAAAACAATATTCAATGATTAATCCGATGTACGTTTCCATGTTCTGCTAAATGTTCGTGTTCCATTATTCACCTCCATCAGAGATTGCAAAATGGTCGTCTGACTAAGCTTATTAATTCGTCTCTAACGAAAAAGAGTAGAGCCGCATGGATAGGCTTTCTTTCATTGTGTTCGGATACTAAGCAGAGTCCTTCGAGGATCGTGGCGTCTCGTGAACGGATGCTATGGTTGATGGTTCTTGCGTTTTTCTTTATCATAGGTTGCGTTTCAGCCGGGATCGCGTTCGACTCATGTTCCGTATGAGATCATAAGTGTCTGCTTTCGCTGATGAATATAACCCCGGAAGTCGTTATTAAGTTGATGGTCTTGTGGTGGAGCGGGAATTCAATGCCGTTTGTTTAAGCATCGCCCCTCCCTCCATTAGGTTAAAATAACCTACGTTAATTAGCATGGGAAAGGTCCTCATGCGTAACCTTGCAAACCGCTATCAAGCCCATGCCCAAAATTATACGCTGACACTTTTTATCAGCTGAAAGCCTTGGTTTTTTTTTTCTGTTTTTTTTTTTTTCTTTGAAGGCTGAAAGGCTGAAAGCCTTGTTGTATCTCTCTATGTACAAGGTGCCTACACACGCAATGAATGTTCACATTCTAGAATATTCGAACAGCCTACACTGAGCCAAAGGACATCAAGACCACCAAGTGTGATGTCTGTCTGTTTACATGCTATGACTGGCGCGGAGCCGAACATGATTCCAGTCACACAGGGAACGGTGAATTGGGAGTAAAACGCACAGAGAGGAAAGCTCCCACAACTCCCATAAGTGAAAAGCGAAGATCCTACAGGCTGAAATATCCAAGACGCCTTTTCGTGGAATGATGGTACTCAAAGATGGTAGATGCAAAAGTAGTAATTGAAGAAAAGCCTTTCACGGAATTACAGCACTGCTTCTAGTAATTTCAGTTACATTAATTAGAGCTGTACTCAAACTATTGTGAGAGGTGGTTTTAACTTTTGAGAGCAAACACAAGCATTTCGCTACCTGAACGAAAAGTATTAAGCAGTATCTGCTATCTTTGATAATATTTCGAAAATACAGCATTCACCACAGAGAGACTACTTCAGCCCGCCACTAGGAACTAAACACTGACCAATTGACCAATGACTAATTACATGGGAAAAAGGAGAGGTCTGGAACTTGCTTAGCTATTAAAAGTTTTGGCCATCTTTTTTTCGTAGCTAGAGTTTCCCTGGAGGGTCCTGAAAGGGTGGGTGGTGCGTTATAAATCCCATTTCCAGGCCCACATTTAACCTAATTCCCATTTTCCAGACTAGTTTTTACCCAAATCCAAGTCTCGTTCTGGTTTTTCGTTTGTGATTCCCAGTCCCGGCGACCCAAATCCCATTTTCCCAACAAAAAGGTAGGCCAATCCTAGTTCCTATTTTCATCCTTTAGGCCACTCTCTCTTTACTTTAGTTTTTTTCCAAGTGTTCCGATTGAAGTCGTTGCACTGCACAGTAACACGCTGAAATCTCTGTGAACAAGGCTATTGTGTCTAAAGCTGTACCTTGCAATGATGACATCACTCATGCTTTGGAAAAATCTTGCCACTGTGAGGAGAACTGGTTGAAGAGCCTGACAATAACCACACCATGGAGTGTAATACAGCAACAAAACATCCTGCAAGTCACAAGTACATGTTCGGGGGTTGAAAACTATTTCAAAGAAAGATATTAATGTAATAGGTGATTTGTAGGATGGTGTCATTTGACGGCAACTTCAAGAATCCTTCACTTTTTCTGTTTCTTGTACTAATTAGGGCAATTGTTATTTAAACCCCACTGGGAATTCAAAATTTGAATAATAAGGAAAAAAAAACGAAATGAATTCCCAGTAGTTGTAGTCAAATGATCCTATCATGCAAATCTGCTATTGTTAACGGATAACTGAACTAGTGAGACGATCTCAGATAGTATAGAGTGTAATTTACGGCTCTGATACAGTAGTCATATAGGTCCTCACCCCTGCCGTTCACTCCCTTGGTAGTCAACTAGGCCTTTTCCCCTTGCAGAATATGTGCAGACAAAAACTTGATAAGACATAATCTCTGCGGTGTGTATGTTTTATTTGTGTTTGAACTCAAGGTCCAAAAATAACTTACAATTACCGTTTGTCAAGACAGCTTTGAATTTTACTGTGGTGTTTTATGTTGAGTTTCGTTCACCTTAAATTCAGTAATACGTTGAAGTAGCAAACGTGACAATGTTACTTTTCAAGCCAACGTTTGTAACTTGAGGAGGAGAAGGAGAAGGATGACGGGGGGGCAGTGGAGTTTCCTTTTCCTCTCAATCTACCAACCTTAGTTTCATCGAGCACTATTTCCTGGAAATTTGATGTCACCACTTCCGTTACACATGTTTGTGATGATGGACATTTGCGTGAACTTGCACGACCAGATCTGAAACGTCTTGTTAGATTTCCCGCCATGTAAGCCATCACAAACGTAACTGAAGAAAAATTAGACTTTTGTTATAATTCTAACCTGCGGAGGATTTATGATTTTAGGCATTTCCAGGGAAAAGAAAACACGACATGTATCCAAATAATGTCACGTATTTCAGTCTTCAGATCACAGAATCGTGTGAATACAACTTACAGCAGCCTTTTCCTAGTGATATGAGTATTAATTTGCATTCAGATGTGTATCACATAAGCACAGACTACATACTCACATTGTTTAAGAAATACATTATTACATCAACTATCACACAAATCTAGAATATTTTAAAAATGAAAGATTTGCGGGATAAAGAAATTAGATTCACAAATACTATTTTAGCCAAACAGAGATCTGATTGACAAAACAACAAGCTTATCAAAAGTAATCAAAACTGCAGAATATCATATTGTACCTATTGTTGAGTTGCCGATTTCTAACTCCTCTTCCAAGACATACTGAGCATTGTTCTGTAACAGAATAAAATAAATTTTTTATTTTTAATATTTATAACATGCTCATTTTTAACAAGATAAGATGCAATTGTTTTAATTTTGAGTTTCAAAAGTGCTATTGGACAGCAATGGAAATGATACCATACCAAAAGAGTATTGTTATTTTTATAATTATAAAAAAATCAAAACCAAAATAATGAGACTGATCACAGTAAATAATAATAATGTAACTGGAGACAGCCATGGAAAGTTTTGGTTCCATAATCATGTCTTCTGTATAGCTAGATTTGTTGTAGTTTTGCTTCAACGTTGGACTAAGCTGGCCAGCCAAACCATCATATGATGCACAATGAAATGTAACAACAGGTACCACTACTTTTACTATGGTGTAAAGAGCTAGTACTGACAGTGTAAAATGCGTATGCAAAAAGCTGGGATGCCAGCCTTCAAGGTGGAGTCTAATGTTCCAGTCAGTGGACTCAGCAATTTAGATTTGCTGTGCATCTAACCTCTGGGCATAAGTGACTATCCTCTGGAAGCGAGAAGGTTCAAATGTAATAATTGTGATGTTGCCTGACCATGCAGGAAAATATTTTGTTTTAATTGTTTTTCATTAAAAAAAGTTTACTACAGTTGAACCCCAGTAATTCAAATTCAGTTATTGCGAATTCCCTGCTATTTCAAACTCACAACCATTTCCACTGGATTTGCCCTTCAGTCATTTACTATTGACTATTTTGAGCTCACGCTATTTCAAACTACCTAACCATATTTTTTGTTTCCCCTGAGAGTTCGAAATAGCCGGGTTCAACTGTATATACTTACAGCTTTTTTTTTTATTACATTGTATATTAAATGATTTTATGCAACTAATCATACCCTCAATGAGATATCATGAAGTTATCTTTAGTTACCTTATCTTATTTGTAATCAGATCATTGTACCTCTAAATCAGCAATAACCAAAGCAACCTCGCCCTGAGGAGTCCTATGAACACCAAGCCTCTCTGCCACTCCCCAGTACTCTATGGAATCCATCAGGAAAAAATTGACTGATCTATTACTATGGCAACCAGCTCCAGCAAATTGTGTCACAAGACCCGTATGTACACAAGTGTTATTGCCGACATCTTCAATGGAAGAATTGTCAAGAGGAGTGTGATGTTCTTGCAGAGGAGCAGAATGTGGAAAAGTGTTCTTTGTAACCTCCTGAGATTCTGTTGACAAGTTGTGCCTACTCACTTGATTATAAACATTTTTAAAACTAGGTCTTTTGAGTGGCGTAACAAATGAACTCAATAATTCGTTAAAAATATCATCAAAACTCCTCTGTTGTGTTGTTAATGACTCCAGGCTTGCAGTTTTCATATGTTCTAGAGTATCTAAATATCTGTATGTTTCTGGCAGCTGAACACTGCAGCAGATAGTTGTTACAGGAAGTGGGTAGTATAGAGGTTTAATAGTGCTGCAACCATCAGTGACAGAAGATAAAGTTGAAACAATACTACTTTTCAGACAGGTTGGTAATCCAAAGGCCATATTCCGAAATTTGTGGCACACATTGCAGATGTTATATTTGTTTTCTAAGATGTCACTCTGTTGTTGTACTTTGAATGACTGACAGTTCCTCAGGGGTGCAAATAAATATGGTGCACTGAACTCTTTGTTGGTGATCAAAAGGTCTCCTTGACTGTTTACAATTTTCAGACTTGAACCAAGGTTTGAAGAATCAGAAGCTATAAAATCATCTAAATTGATTTCCACTGATGTTCCAGCAGTGTTGTTCCTTTGAGTGCCTTCTGAGTTTTGAGAAACAGAATTAATTCTAGTTCTGTTGCATGAGCAATTAAAATACTGGGCTGCTGCATTGATGTACTGAAGTGAAAAATAAAAACACAAAAAAGCATTCTGGTTAGCTTGAGAAAAAAGCTTGACTAAGAGAATATAAATAATCTGAATGAAGTTTGGAAGCTGCATGCTTGTTTATCATCATGACCTTAGGCTTTACTGGGATAAGAAGTGACCTTGTTCAGTATAACAATAAACCATGACACCACTACACTGCTGTCCTTCTTGTACTGATTAATCCCTTACAGAGACAGATGGGTTGATGTAAGACAGTCAACAACTATTGTCCAGCCACACATGAACTACTCAATTTGTTCAATGCACTATTCAAAGGGAGGCACGGTGGCCTCATGGTTAGTGCACTCGTTCCTGGAATGAACGGTCTGGGTTCGAGCCCTAGCCGGGGTCACTGTGTTATGTTCTTGGGCAAGACACTTAACTCTCACAGTGCCTCTCTCCACCCAGGAGTATAAATGGGTACCAGCGAATTGTTGGGGAAACCTAACAAATTGCAGGGGAGTGACTAGCATCCCATCCAGGGGAAGTAGAAATACTCCTAGCCGCGTCATGCTACAGAAACCGGGACAAGCTCTGGCAGCTATGTGCCATTCAGCTCCAAGGCTTCACTTTTCTTCTTTACACGATTCAAAGCTTTACCACTTTAGAACTACATAGAAAATCTTTGTACTTTGTACTTTGTACAATTATCTTTGATCAATTACAGCATGTGAAATCTAGTTAGGTCAAGTTACATGTACAGTATTATAGCCAGGGCTACAGTGATTTAACTATTGACATCATCTCACTGCATTTCGTCCACACACAGAAAAGCAAAGTTCCCCCACCATCCTGGCAATGAAACATAGTATTGAATGATACTATCCTTTTTCAGTTGGAGAGGTATTAATTCTACTCACCACTTCCAAGAGATGTTGATTTACTTTGTTCATGTAGGGTTTCAAAGGCAGAAACAAAATAAGAGCTGGCCCCTTGTTGAGTTGTTTTAAATAATACTCTTTTCTATCAGCGTTAGGACTGAGCTGAATGACAAGCTGAAGTAAAATGCACAGGAAGTTTTTTTATAATTGCGATATGTTGAAATGTTCTCTCATTTTGAATGCTTCTTACTTATATATGATACATCGAAGGACAGACGATAAGGTGATGTCATTAACGTTCTTTGTTGTTTCTTTATTATATACAACAAGAAAACTCTAAGTTGTCATTCGTCTGTTCATTTTCATTGACAGATCACACAAGACACCAAAATATGCTCAGAGCATCAGTAACAGACTTGGCTATCGCCTTGTGCCACGTTTTTTTATTCTGATTACCACATTTTGACGTCATCTGTGATCTAATGTATTACTTCAGATTAACGCCCAAGTCACTAGTGGAGGGAAGGTGCCTACGAAGCCCGGGGGCTGCAACCGCAGTCACATCCNCTACATTAATCTGGAGACGTGTCAGGTTACTGTAGTTTGTTCAGTCAAACATTTTAAAGGCTTACTATTTAGCTATGTTACCATGACCGATGTAACATCGCAACCAAAAAAAATTGTCAAATTAACCAAATCATTACTTTATCATGAATGCTTCTATCTCCAACACTTCACACCAAAAAATAACTCTTGCACGCCTTGCGTGCCTATGTTCTATCATATGATACTGGTATCCCCAACATAAAATGACAACTTAGGACAGAACCAGATCTGTACTTTTGTGTTCAAATTAACTCTCTTTTGAGTTCAAAGTAACACTCTCAGTGTTAAAAAGGTTATTACAAATAGTGTATTACATGTATACATGTACATTTAGTGTATTTCTCAGTTATATACTACCTTACCAACACAGCTTGGTTAGGGCAATGATATGCTACTTGTGATATGTCATCAACTCCTGCTTTCAATGCAAGCTTGGCACTTGTCACAACAACAAATTTAAACAATGGTCCAGATGCTGCATGTAAAAAAAAGGCAAGAGAAAAAAAAATTTCTTTCTTCTACCTTACAATGTTCTTACAATATCTTTATTGCATGTAACTGAAAGAAACAAAGAAATCTGTATGGGCCCACAAATGATCCCCAAACAGGACCACAACAGATCCCAGGACCAGAAATGATTCCTTTATAATAAATGATACTGCAAAAAATAGGAATGGCATGGACTCAAAGAAAAGTCTATGCATGTATACTTTGTTTACATTATCGCAAGTGAAGAAAAGTCAAGCACCTCAGGCTGATAAAAGCAACAATAAAATGGCAAAATACTACAAAACGCTACATTAACTTTTTCATTTAGAAAATGCAATGCAAAAATAGGCATAAATATTTAAAGATGCCTGACTGAAGGAAACAAATTCTATTAACAGATATTGCACTTCACTTTTTCCAACTCGACTAGAGTTTAAAATATGATTTTCATTGCATAACATACCTTTAGCAATAAACTGCAATGCCAAACTAAAGAATGTGCTGTACTTCTTTGTGTTTATCATTGTCTGGTTGAAGTAAGCTATCAAAAGCTCCTAATTGAAAAATTTAAGATAATGTACAAAGAAGTTGATATCAAAAGCTTAAGTGTGAACTGAAATTAAACAATAAAAATTTAATTACAGTTTTATTTTGTGTTTATTTACATATAGTCTACATTGTATTTGAGGTCTTTTTTTCAATTATTAGTGTCATCATGGAAATTTCATGATCCATGAAATCCACTTTTGGGCACTTAAGATTTGCCCTGACTTGGATGAAATGTATAAGGCCTGCTAATGGATATGTATTTATATACAGGATGATATGTAACAGACCTCCAGGAGCACGTTTTGCCCTATAGGTAGACTAGCTACTAGTAACTTTGAGTGATCTTTCATTGGGTCCTTAGATGGCATCCATTGCCAGAGTTCTGCAGCCTTTGTTGGGTGTAATTCATTTCATATTGTGTTGTCTGCGCCCTTATTTTGTTTTACATAATTCTTGTACAGCTTACAGCTGCGAGTTTAGTTGCAGTTTTCAAGGTAAGTCATTCCCAATTTCTCAATCATTCTGTTGCAGTCCTTATTTGTTTTCGTTTCTTTTTTCTTTTCATCTAACACACGTGTGCATTGGAAAGGCAAATGCTGCCCTTCGGTAAATGTTTAAGAAAAGAAAAAAATAACTAAAAAAGAAAACAGAAAAAGAATTAGTATCCGGTCTCACTAGGATTTGAACCCAGAGCCACCTGCTGTAGTATATTAGGACAGTGGTTGTACATGTCAAATATACATCCGGGAGAGTGCGAGCGCGGGAAGAGAGTGTTGAAACGTGTACTGTGTGTACTGTTGTCTTTCGCCTTCGCGGCTGCCTTTTGTGGCTTACTTTTGCTGTTCAACACTACACCTGCACTCTAGGCAAATGCCTTCTCCAGTGTGCCACACTGACAACTATACACCTCATGGAGAAAATATTGATCATATTGGTTGGTAGGGAAGTGCTGCATCTAGTTAAAGCAGCAGGCTTTAGTACATTCCTAGGGTGAACCGACACGTCATGCGAAAGTATTACCAAACTCATTTATCATTGTACTTTTGTCTTTCTAGAAGTTGCCTACTTGCAAGACTAGAAAACGTCAACCCAATGAAATAACACTAGCCATAAGCCCATAAGTTAGCATTGGGGACCGTTTATTCCAGAAGGATATCACATTTTCATGGGCAATAAATCAATGACGTTTGTTTAACTGATAAAAAACAACTGGGTTTTTTCGGGGGGGAAAATCACATGGTATTGAGTGGCCATGATGAAAATCAGATCTTTATATTTGGGGTCAGTGGAAACGATTTCATGGCTTTACAAGGACTTTCAATACCATGTGGTTCACACTAAACTATGACAGCAAATGGTCCTTACATGGACATTGGTTTTCCATTCCTTCATACAAAGTCTTTAAAATAATCTTATTGTCTTTTCATTACTGACCTTAAATTCTTTTGAAAAGGTTCACCACTTACATCCAAGAAAATAAGAATAGATTTATGATATAAATTCTTTTAATTTATCATTAACTAACAAATTACATAACATGACATGAAATAATTAATATTTTAATTACCTGACTTAACTTCTTTGTCACTGTAAGCTCTGCATTATTACCTATGTACACAAATGGTCTGATGACAGAATGAAGAAAACCAATCTGTAAAGATGAAACAAATATTTAATTATTACCGGTAATCCTTGAGTAGGCATACCGGTAACTACCCTGATGTCCCAAAGGTTTTCTTTCTTACGGATGCAAGAAAATTGAGCTACGAATACTGTAGATGAAAAAACAGGACCAAATGTGTGAGAGTACAAAAATCTCAATCTGGTGTTGATGGGTTAGAATTTCACTGACTTTACACTGCAGTTTTATGTAAGCAACATGAAAAGTTTAACATTTGAACAGAGCATAATATATCCATATCTATCAATCAGTAACTCACCATCTTGGATGTTCTGTGTTCTCCTTTGTACTCCACCCCATCAAAATGTGTGTGGATGGCAACAAGTTTGGGAAACAAATCAACCTTTTGCTGCTGAAAACAGGTACCTGTCCAGCAATTAATAGCGATAAACAATACCTGTAAATGAAAATAACTTGCATTTTTCGGTCTTGTTGATATATAAATTATAACAAATTTTTATATATTATTCTACATATGCACATTTTTCCTGTGTGCATCGTTGAGTTACACTTGTAAGACAACATCACACTCAAGAAAATTATTATTAGCTACTCTCATCTGTCTCTCGAGCAGCTGGCTTATTTCGCATTCTCCAAACTTTGCAAGTGCATCATCACTAATTGCTAATTAGTAATACTCTAGTGGCGATTAAGTCACACACCACAGTTCTAGAGACTTCATCCCTACATTATTAATTTTCAAGCATGACAAGATCATAATGTGTACAAATTAAGTGTAACATAAACATGACTGGGTTATGGAACAATTGACATGCATGTACATGTAATAAGCCTGGTGGCAAAGCAAAGTACAACAATTACAATATACTTTACATTGACAGCAAATTGACATATATCAAATCTAATCAAACTCCAACCTCTTTATATAGGATATTTGCTGCCTTGTTAAATTCTTGAGCAGCATTCCTTGACCGTCCGCACCAGGGTGCATAAAAAAGGACAAAGTTGACCTCACTCTTTTGGAGCAAGTCTTTAAATGTCTCCATTGATCCATCCGGAATTTCAACCACATTTCCAACACTTGAAAAGAGATGACGAGACTCAGGAAATCTAAGAAAGTGCTTATCTCCACTGAAAATACAGTAAAACAATTAACTTTTGATTAAGCTCAATGCAAGCAGTCCCAAATTGAAACTGAAAGTGCAAAGTTAAGCTTCCATAAATTACAGCAAGAAGGTGATCATAGAGAGTGAATGCTACAAAGAAGTGGTTGTAGCTATCAGCAAGCCCCAAAATTTCAAACGTTTTTGCTTGTAAATAAATAAATAAATAAATCTATAATAAACTTAAAAAACAACTAAATAAATACATAATCATGATACTGTAGTTCATCTATTTAGTCTCCAGAAATATTGACCTTTATTAAATTCTCAACCTTGGATAATGCAATTCTAGCTTTCTTATTGGTTCACTGGATCTCAGTTACCAGCCATTATACCTGCGTTTGACCTTATATGGAAATGAATGCGGTAAATGTCGCTTGGCATAAACTTTTTCGAGGGAAGCCAAGTTTCGTTGAGAAAAACATGGACGAAAAAAAACAGATTCGGTGAGCTATCTACGGAAGAAATACAGGAAATTATGGACAATACCATCCCAGTAACAACAAAAAAGCCACAAAGTTTGAGATTAGATTATTTAACAGTACGTATACGTTAAGTTTCCTCGAAAAGTTGCAAAATTAAAATATGACAGTCGAGATTTTACGCACTCATGAAGATTATGTAACAAAAACAATGTTTACTCTATCAGAATGGCTTGCTAGTCCTGGTGGCACCAAATTTCCAAAACCAATATAAGCAATGTCAAAAGAAGAACTGAACGTTTGTTTGAAGTGTTTTTACTTGTCTGCGGGGAAGAAAGATGGCACGTATTGCAAAAGTTCATCGATTAAATCCATAAGGAGAGCCACCATTGATCATTTCCTTCACACGCCGCCACACAACAAACCATTTTCCAATATCTCTGACCAGGCAAATAAATTATTAGAGCATTTGTAAAAGGCCTCAGGAAAATAGGCATCATTGCTGTCCTTGCGAAAAACACCTCAAGGAGTTGAGTGTTTTGAGCTGAACCAAAGTAAGCCCGGTTCTTTACCAGCCACGANGAAATACAGGAAATTATGGACAATGCCGTCCCAGTAACAACAAAAAAGCCACAAAGTTCGAGATTAGATTATTTAACGGTGCGTATACGTTAAGTTTCCTCGAAAAGTTGTAAAATTAAAATATGACAGTCGAGATTTTACGCACTCATGAAGATTATGTAACGAAAACAATGTTTACCTTAACAGAATGGCTTGCTAGTCCTGGTGGCACCAAATTTTCGAAACCGATATAAGCAATGTCAAAAGAAGAACTGAATGTTTGTTTGAAGTGTTTTCACACGTCTGCGAGGAAGAAAGATGGCACGTATTGTAAAAGTTCATCGATTAAATCCATAAGGAGAGCCGCCATTAATCATTTCCTTCGCACGCTGCCGCACAACAAACCGTTTTCACATTATCTCTGACCAGGCAAATAAATTATTAGAGCATTTGTAAAAGGCCTCAGGAAAACAGGCATCATTTCTGTCCTTGCGAAACACACCTCAAGGAGTTGAGTGTTTTGAGCTGAACCGAAATAAGCCCGGTTCTTTACCAGCCACGAAAAACCATCAGGGTGGCCTCGGAGATTCTGAAGATGAATCTGACGCTAAGATAGTTTCTGTCTCTGACTCTGAATCTGGCCAACAATGAACTCCACACATACAGCTCGAAATGCCATGGCTTTCAAAGCAAGGGAATTCTGAAAGAGGTCTTGTCGAGCATAATTTTGGCACAACGTCTGTGTCATTCATGGAATAATTGTTAAATAGTGCCCATGTTAACTATTTTGGTAACTTGAAGCAGCATATCCCTCTCCAATAGTTCTTCATTGTTCTTCATATGTCCTGCTATCATAAAACGTACATGCATGCAGCTACATGTACATGCTTAGACAGATACTAAATGACTATTTTATACTTAATTGAAGTAAAAACAAGACCTCATACCGGTAGATATCATAAGCAGATAGGTGGGGTTGGACCCAGGTCAAATGTCTTATGAGCAATTCACATGGCCACAAATACTACTGGAGAGCTGGCTACTAGAGAGCTGATTTTTTTTTTAGTGAATATAGTGTTACCTACATAATCATTTAAGAGCTTAACATTCTTAACTCAGAGCTATTAAGGCTCACCAGAGTACTACTAAGGCTACATGTTACTGAAGTTCTATTTAGGCTACCATAATCTAAGCACTATTTTAATAGCATTTACTATATGTCCCACCCCCATGTTGGGGACTATCAGTACTATTGTCCACAACCCACAAGAACAACTGAATTCTAGCAAAGAATTCTGCACCAACAATATGGGTCTCCCGAAAGAATTCACATGGGTTACTCTACAGAATTCCAACTTCTCAACCATTATTAATTTGATTCCGCACCCCCCTGCAAAATCCTTAAATTTGCACCATACGTGGTAGCTAAAGAATTCCCTAAATTTCCACTTTGTCCCTAAAAGAATTCCGCTGGTCCTCAGTGTTCAACAATCAACAATTGGGTGCACATACTAGCCGCTAGTCACTTCAAGTGTGATCAGAGCTCTGTGCAATTCCTGTATTTAAGCTTACATGTGTAACTGCAGAAAACTACTAAGCTTATAAAATTAAGACTTGTTTGGTTATCACGAAAACCACATACTTGCCATTAAACCACGCACACCCACGAATTGACAATAGGAACAATCCAAGAGTGAGAAGAAACCGATACTTGGCAGCAATCATAGCCGCATGTTGTAAAGTCCTTTTTTCTCTAACTTAACTCATGGACCCCCAAACACCTTATCAACATCGTCCACGTCCGCCATGTTGAAACCGAATCAAAGATGGCCACGCAGCACTCATCTCCAAGGCCCTCTCGGCTTTGCCAAAAATATTAAAATTATCAGTCATCTCAAATAGGAGGGAGATCACTGACATTTCAGGCTGGAATCAGGAGCGTATAAAATATTCATCATGTTGAAACAAATACTTCAAGTGCCTTTTGTTTTCTTTGTTTAACCGGAGATGCAATATAATTACGGGCTTTCAGGTTTCTCACAGGTCATGATCGTTTTGTGGTTTTTGAAAAGATGGCTACATCACTGCTTCTTTTTAAGGTCCGTTATAAACGGCATCTTTTTTACGAATCGTGCGATTGTCTACATCCACCATATTCAGAGTGTCTTGCAGTGACGGGCGTCTCCCTTTGTAGGACCCTCCTATGTAGATGTAGATGTAGATGTCGATGTATATCAGTTGGAGAACCAAGTGAGGCAACAAACACATGGCCATTAAAATGTTAATAATTTGACAATTTTGATTGAAAATTTCCTAACAAAGTGGAAGTGAAGTGCTTTGTTTCACGTGATCAACATGCAGCCGCATTTTCTCGACCAATCATCGTTTTAGCTCTAGTTTTAAACAGCACGCGCTATTACGTCACAATGGCTTCAGGTATATAAGAGACGCGCGTTCACAGGAATCGTCATTTTCCCGTTAACTCTCTTAGAGTGAAGTTCGGAAAGTTTGTTGGAAAAAGTTGAGATTTACGTCAAGAATGGGCTGTTGTTTTAGTAGAAAGCAAGCCTTATGCTTCAAAAAGAAGAGAAAGGTGAGCAAAGTTCAAATGGTTGTGAACTTTACTCAAAATTCGTAAACAATTCGCGTCTTTGCGCACCGAGTTCTACAGACGGTTTTTTTCAACCGTTAGCCTTTGTGATGTCAGAGCACACGCCATCTAGATTTGAATTTTGCGCGAGCTCTGAGACTGGAGACCTGGTTACTAAAATAGCAGTTTTCACGACAGAAAATAAAATTGGTTTGCATAAAATCAAAGAAGCTCTCTGTACTTTTATGCTCATTTTCCTTACCTGGCTAACTTAGAATCAATCTTAATGAATCAAAACGTTTTGCCAATCTAGCAGCTAGCGTTTTCACGTCGGTACAAACGGTTTCTTCAGTCTCCAGAGCGGGAGAAATCGTGTCGGTCAAGTTTGCGCGCACTTGTGTAGACTTGCAATGAACTATGTTTACTTGGATCGAGGTCAAAGATTTGCGCTTTAGTTGATGGTTTGTTTTCACCGCAAGTCCACTCGACGCAAAGAACGGGAAAACGAAGTCAATGCTTATATTCGGATTATAGAGCCGTTTCAATGTTTTTTTTTTTTGGAGCTAAATATAATTCAGTTGTAAAATACCCTGCCGCAAAAGCCGCTTTTCATTACAACGACGAAATTCAAAGTATACCGACGCTATTCAGCATCGATAAGTCAGCCGTTCGCTGAGCCCTAGTACGCAAAAAATGAAACATTGAATTGTAAACTTGAGGTTTTTGACGAAATTGTCAAATGTTCCTGTACATGGTGTTTTGGGCTTAGTCCTTCTTCAGTTCGAGTTCTTCTGCCAAAATAACACACCAAAAGTATTAGCACGAGACTAGAGTCTCGTCCCTAGAATTGTAACCACAAACCGATATCATCAGTTTTGTTCATGTTACAATGAGCTTTCGTTGTTAACGCGCACACACAAAAAAATATTGGGAACTGAAAAAAAATTTTTTTTTGCAGATTATGACCTGTTTAATTCTTGCCATGCAAAAAGAAAGATTCAAACATCAGCTCAAAAAGTAGATGCCTATAGTGTTCAACTGAACGTTTTGTCTAGTAAGATTTCATTACAAAATGAATATTGTTAAT